TAGAGCATATCTACACAAGTCATTTCCAAGTACTAATTTACATAGTAATTGTTTTAATGTCGGCATATTCAACTTTCAATAGCTGGCTTTAGTCACACAGTTTTTCTATTCTCATCCTTCCCTGTCAGCTGGGTTTGAAAAAATAGTGATAACTAGTAATTTATTTTGCCTTTGTCAGGTCTGAAAAATTTGTATGGTCTACCAAGTCTATATGAGCATGTGTGAGTAGTGGGGGTGTTCATTTCTCTTTAGTCTTCTATTTGCTTCTCCAGTTATTTATTTATTTGATCACCTATTACATAGGAATTTATTTCTTAAATTCACATTTAAAGTAATACACTGATCCCTTTTTTTGGTGAATGATTATACTTTCTATCTGTACTAAGTAATGAAGATTTGCCAAGTTCATGCAGCTATGTTCCTACACCTGTATAGTCCCTCAGCTGAACAGCTGCACAATGAGCATAGACAGGAGAGCAGAGGAAGACTGGAGAAGGCAGGGATCAGAATTTAGATGCTTGTATTGTTTCCTCAGGTACTAACTGTAGTGCTACTGGGTATCTTTTAAATATTTGGACATGTGTGCAGGCACACGTGTGCGATGCATTTGCATTCTTATTTATTCCACAGGTAGAAAATGAGAGGGAAGAGGAAAGAAGGAAGACACACACATGCGCAGATAGAGAATCAGAGAGAGAGTGTATATATACACTATACTTACAGAACAATGTAGATAGATAGATAGATAGATAGATAGATAGATAGATAGATAGATAGATAGATAGAAAGAGAGAGAGGGGAGAGAGGGGGGGGAGAGAGAGAGGGGGGGAGAGAGAGAGAGAGAAAACCCATCCATTAATTCACATATCTCATTATGAACCAGGCCTAGTCTAAGCCCGGATGAATGAAGCTGAAGTATTTGCTGGAGCTCAGTATTCAACCCAGGAATGTCAATGTGAGGCTCACATTCTAACCATAATCAAACACTGGCCAAACCCTTGCCTTGCTTATGTTCTTAAGGTTCACTACCTGTTTGTTTCCTGAAATGTTAATTTGCTTTTCCAGTAATACTTTATATATATATAATCAAAAAGTGAACGGTCTCAGTTTGTCTTTGTGGTGATGAATTTGTCTGGTTCTGGTATCAGAGTCATACTGATGTCATATAATTAGTTTAGAAATCTTTCATATGTAGACTTGTGTGTGACTTAGTGAGATTCCTTTGTAAGCGATGAGTCATTTTTTGTTGCTGTCAAAATTCCTCTTTGTCTTTTGTTATCAAAATGATGATGATAATGATGTGTTTGTTTATTTTATGTACCTCTTGGCATGTATACCAGAACTATTTCAGTAAACTTCCATACATGTTGCCTGCAGTTTTTCAGTAACTGTGAGGAATGTTCCAGTAGGTGCAGATTTGAATATTGGCAACAACCCTGAGATGTGTTGTGGCTTCTTCTCTCTCAGGCAAACTCTGAAGTAGGGGCCTGAAGAAGAGGGTGGGAAGAGCCAAGATTCTCGAGGGATATGGTACTCTAGGAGATGAGAATTCAGACAGAAGAGAGAGTAGTCTGAATTCTGATCTGTTTGCTTCATTCCTACAATGTCACAAATGGGGGGGAGTGTGATTAGTGCCAGCCCACTCTCAGCATGCCATCCTCCCTGCAGTCTGCTCTAGGCTGGCGGTTGCAAGCAGGAACAAGTCCCCTCACTGTCTGCTGCACTCACCAGGGCGTGTTGCTTCACTGAAGAGGCTGGGAAGAAGGATGAGAAACGAGTTTCCGCTGCTCCACTTCTCACCCAGCTCCCTGCAAATGCCTGGGAAAGCACCAGAAGATGGCCCACATCCTTGGGAGACTGAAAAAGCTTCCACTATCCTCCTGGCTTTGGACTGACCCAGCATTGGGCATTTCAGGCATTTGGGGAGTTAAATGGGACATCTCTATCTCTTCTTCTCTCCTTAAATTTGGCTTTCAAATGAAAATTTATGAATTTAAAAAAATAAGAAAAAGATAAGAGAGAGAGAGAACACTCCAGAAAACCACGAAATTTTCCTGATGGGAGCATGATTAAGAGGGATCCTGGGGATCTTCAGCATCTTTTGTAGAAAATCTCATTTATTGATCAGGGAGGGAAGAAAGATACAGTGATCTTCTTTAGATCCTAAATTATGTCCTTTCTTAGCAAAGTTTTATAGATTTTCTAGAATCTTTGCCTTAAAGTCTGTCTCTGATGGCATAACGCTAAAAGATACTCATAAAAATTTTCTCCAGTTTCACTGGGGAGCGGTTCAGTGGAATTCTTAATGCTGAGTTATTAACTATCTGCCTCTGAATGACATTCCTGCTACAATTTACCCAGGTGCCTGCCATTTACTTATTTAATTAACAGCTGACAAAAACACAAATAGATGAAATAAAATTACACATATTGCTGATAAATACTCATCAGAGTTCTAATCATGATGAATGTATGTTTTAAGGTTCTTATATACTTATTTTTATTTTATCTGAAAAGGGATAAAGAGATATCTTTCATCTGCAGGTTGATTCCCCAAATGCCAGCAACAGACAGGCTATGCCAGGCTGGTATCAGGATTCTGGAACTTAATCCAGGTCTCTCAAGAGGGTGACAAGAGAATAAACATTTAATTTCTTCTAATTCCTTAAAGCAAAGCTAATCGAGGACTTTCTTAATAAACCCATTGTAAGAAAAATGATTATTTTAGAATAAATAGTCTTAAAATGTGCATTTTTAAATATTAAGGCCAACATTTTATAAAATACACTGTTACAAGTTTCACATAATTCTACATTATAGCTTCTGGTTCATAAATTATTCAGTTATTTTTATTTAATGATTAAGTTTGTGTCAACTGATAATGTAGCTGCTTTACTCCCTCATATTGAATGAGCATCAATTTACAGTGTCCTTTTATGTGAATTTATAGTGCCCACATGCAATCATCACATTACAACCTGCAACGATCACCACAATAGTGTATCTTAAAAAAAAGAAGGAAATGGTTTGTGAAAGAAACACTAGGATTCTCTTCAAATTGTCAGACTCTCCTGACAGCCTTCATAATTTCACTGACCTTGTGTATTGTTACTGTTATATGTGCCTGCATTTCTATGAGCACAGATGAAGTCAAAGGCGTAGAACGTTAAGAAGTGGGAACCCTGGGCAACTTCTTTTTCTCATAGTTCTGAGAAAGTGGGACAATGACAAAAGCAGAAATAACAGGAGACTTGTGAGATTATTGCATCACTGAATCAGATGCAAAACTAGTTGAGGGAAAGCATCACTTCTGGCAGGTTCATTCTAACACCTTCCTGTTACGCAGCTCTAACACTCTAACACATAAGGCTAATCATCACCACTGCTTTCCCTTTTTCTTTTTGGGGTATCAGTTTGTTGTTTGATTATTTATCCTTTAGATATCCACCCTCAACAACTAAATATAATTCAGTATGTTTTCCTTCATGTACATATTAATGATTCTTTACACTCTAAACTCAGTCACTTTAACAAAAACTTAAAAGCATCTTTCTTCCTGTATTCTTTCCCAATATTATCTAAGAATATGCTTTCTTGAAAGGTAGTGGGTACACTAAAAATATCCTCTTTGAGAAAAATTGGAATATCAATCTTCTTTTAACTTCAGTGATTTTCTATGCTCCCTCTGCCAGCAATTCTTTCTTCTTGAAAAAGATTGAATGTGTTGAGGGAAAATGTAGACATGAAGGAAAATTATTCTCTAAGTATATTTATTATGCCAACAATATAATTTCATGCATCTTTCATGGTGTGCAATTAGGTATTGAAATTTCTCATAACTAGAAATGTTCTTGGTCAATGGAAATTACTGATAATTTAAGGCAACCTGGGAATAATGTGCCTAGCTAAAAGTCCTAGACCAATAAAGTACTCAGTTTAGGGAAAAAATGATTTATTCTCCACATTAATCCTCTGTTTAACTATATTGGGAAATGCAAATTCACCTTTGGAGAAAGCCAGTAGTAACTTTTCCATATTTTAAAACATATTTAGCATGGCAATGAGAAAATAGTCCCCCAAACCATACTTTACTAATTTTTAAAGCGCTAATTACCTTTACACAAATATTGTATTTACTTTACTAGCTTAAATTTATATTCCTAATCCTTATTTTCACTCATTGCTGTAACTTTATTCTTTCTCTCTCTCTTGTCTCTTTAGTGTTTTCAAAGGCAGATTGAGGAACAATGGGGAATTAAATGCACTAATACAACTGGACAGATTTAGTAAATGCGCCTGGTAATATCACATTGCAAATGCTGATTCCATCCAAACATTAACATCTTTTTGGCATTTATTTTATGGGGAAAATGGTAACAATTTTGAGGAAAATGTATAATGAGCCATAGTAAAAGTTAATGAGGACAATTAAAGAGAAGATGGATTTCGAGTAAATTTACGTAGTGCTATCTTTGCTTTCATTTACATTCCATTGTTTACCTGTGACTCAATAAAACTTGAGCTTGCTGTCAGTTGACAAGCCACAGGAGCTCACAAAATGACACAAAATTGAAAAAGTAACATTTGCTTTTATTCATTTTAAGCATTGTATTCAGCTCTATCCCCTGCCACCCTCCCTCCTCTCCTTCCTTCCTTCCTTCTTTCCTTCCTTCCTCCCTTCCTTTCTTTCTTCCTTCCTTCCTTCTTTCGTTCGTTCTTTCTCTCTCTCTTTCCTTCCTTCCTCCCTCCCTCCCTCCCACCCTTCCTTCCTTCCTTCCTTCCTTTCTTTCTTCCTTCCTTCCTTCCTTCCTTCCTTCCTTCCTTCCTTCCTTCCTCCTTTCCTCCCTTCCTTCCTTCCTTCCTTTTTTATATCTACATGATTTTAGCTCTAACCAAGAATCAACTCTCAAATGGCATAGTAACAATGCGTGGCCCTAAATATAATTGTGGTCAGAACAAAGTCCAAACGGCCCCTCACACACCCAATCCCTGATACTCACTTAGCATGGCGGATATCTGGCAGAGACCTCTCTAGTGCAATATTGTTGCTGACAAAAATATTGAAGCCATTTTCCCTATAAGCTGAGTCATCATGGTCCTCTTCTGTGAGGGGGTAAGGTTTTCCATGTTCTCCTTTCCCTAGCAGAAGAAGACAAAATAGGTTTTAAACTGAAGAAAACTTATTTCATCTCCCAGAAAATATAACTGAGAACTGAATGTGTGTTTTAGTCATCAATTGCTGCATTCCTCATAGTACTACTAATATGATTTAATTATTTTATTTTGTTGACATTTTACTTGGAGAAAAGGAAATTCAACACATTACAACAAACAACACAGAAATAAAAAGTATCATCTTACCTTCCAGAGAGAACCATTGTAAAGACTTTCAGTGTATAATTCCTAATGCTTGAATGAAATTCTCTTATCAATTTGATTTGTTCCAGGCTGGCCTATACCATGGCGCATACCAAGTTAAGCCTAGGCCTGTGGTGCTGGCATGCCATAGGGGTCCTTATTCATGTTCCTGCTGCTCCACTTCCTGTCCAATTCCCTACTAAAGGCCTAGGAAAGCAGCAAAGAACTGCCCAAAGTCTTTGTCCCAAGCTTAGGTCCTTCCAGGTATAGACGTTATGTAATTAGGTGAGTGAACCAGCAGATAGAAGGTCTATCTCCTCTCTCTGTCAAACTGCCTTTCAAATAAAAATAAATAAATCATTTTAATCTCCTAGTTAAGTATTTTTAATATGGAAAACAAACTTTTAGATATTAAATATTTTGCAATATTTTCAAAGTAAGCATGATAATATTTACAGATACACAGAAAACAAATGATAATATTACAAATTATTATTAAATTGATATAACTTAAAATTTCACACTTAAATTTACTTTTCTTGATTTATAATGTGTTAATTTCTTAAACATTTGTCATGTGTGTTTCTTACATGAAATTATTTTCAAGGACTTCAAAAATAACCTGTAGAGCTTTTCATATATTAATGCATGTTAAAATTTTTAAATTATATGTTGCCAATATTTTCTATTTCTTTTATTATAGCTAATAAATGTTTTGTCTATTTTTTAAGTTCTCAATTATTTGTTTTATTTTCATAGGTTGTCATTCATGTCCTCTGATGTTATTTTTAACATGGTAGTGAATTCTAGTTTTACTACACTTTTCAAAATCATTACAATTTGGGAAACATCAGGAGTTTGTTTCACAGAAGTAAGGTAAGAGTAGTTATATTTTCATTTAAATGTTCAGACATTTGATGAATTTGCCTCCTCCTTTCCTACTTTAAAGTTTTAAAACTTTACAACTAATTTTATGTATTTATTTTGCTGTGTAAACTATTTAATAAAGAAACAAAATTTTTAAATGCTCAATAATAAAAACAAATATATATAATAAAATAAATATATCTAATAAAAATATATAATATATACTGGAACCTGCCTTTCTTCCTGTTGGATTTCTTAGAAACGTAATCCAGTGCTGCTAGCTTCCCTGCTTGATTTCTTAAGCCACTCACTGTTATCAACTTAAATGGATAATAGTCAGTGAGGTATTTTCTTCTTAAACCGGCAAATTATTGAGGATCTTCTACGTACATTGTGCTAGAGGGGGAAGGTGGCCGGTCAGGGTAGGCAGGTGTAGCTGAAAGTGCAGAGAGAGCTAGGAGACAACATTAGGCAGAACAAAAAGCTGAGGAAGACAAATCAAGGGGCGGGGTGAGCAAAGCACGCTGGAGGCCACTGGAAGGAATCTAGATTCACCAGACAAAGAACTACTGAAAAGACCTGAAGCTGTAGCCAACAGCCCAAGAAGAAGCTGAGCACAGGTGAGCTATGGGAAGGAACCCCAAACCACAGACTAAAGCCTAGAGCATCTTGAGCCAGCCCAAAAGAAATGGGAGCAGGCAGGCTCACAGTGGGAGTCTACCCAAAGAAACAGTAGGAAAACACTAGAGAAGGGAGGCACAGCAAGGAAGCTCACAGGCCCCAATAGATCGCCTCCATGATCAGAGCAGCCATGCCATTGAGGAGCAAACCATTGGGGAGTGAACCTGTGGGGGAATGAAGCCGCCTAGAGTGGGACTAGAGGGTCATATCTAGAACAGAGTCCACCCACATGCAGAGATTTGTGCCCTAGATCCCCAGAGAGAATACCAGGGCCACCCAAGAGAGACAGACACTTTATCTCTGGGGGGCAGAGTCTAGATTGGGAGAACTGCACGATTTCCAGTGTGAGCCGCAGCAGCTCTCAGTCACCAAAAAGGGGACGCCTAGAACAAAATAAGGCAAGAGAGTGAAAACCCGCAGAGGCACACACTTCCCCCACGGCAGAAACTACCTGGTGATTGTCAAGTCCTGGCAGAAGTGTGCGGGCTCGCTCACTTCACAGCTCACTGGGCTGGGGACAGCGTGAGCCAGAGAGGAACTGTGCCCACACAGGTGCACAGCATGCGCACTTGTGCCACTGTCTGCTGCAGTAACCTCCATGGGCTCCAGACACAGCAGAAAACAGCAAAACAGCAGAGGAGAGAGGACTAATAGGATCCTGCACATCAAGCAGCACGGACCGCTTGGTGCCGCACTTTAGCAGCCCCAATAAATTGGAAGCCGAAGGCAGAACAAAAGGCAAGCCATAGCAGAAAAACAAGCAATAAAAGTGCTGGCTGCCCCTGTGCACATCTCCATGGGCTGCTGGAAGAATGCGACAGAGAGGAAAGGAGTTAATAAATCCTCCTGGAGAAGACAAGAGCACTCAGGTAACTCAAAGTTCACCTGCCATATGATCCCACTCTCGGGAGCATAGCCAAAAAATCTGATACATAAACATAAGAAAGCACCCTACACCACTGTATTCATTGCAGCACAATCAACAATCACAAAAACATGGAAGCAACCCAGACATCTTTTGAAGCATGACTGGATAAAGAAACTATGGTATACCTACTCTGTGGAATACTACTCAGTCATTAAAAAGAACGAAATCCTATCATTCGCAACCAAATGAGGCCAACTGGAGACCATGACTAAGTGAAATGAGCCAATCCCAAAAGGATAAGTACCATATGTTTGCTCTAATATAAGATAACTTCCATCAAAAATACAAAACAAACAAAGGTGAATAAACAAAGGATGTAATGGAGACCAGACTACCAGGAATCAAAGATCTCTGCTATAAAATAAAAGTAAACTTCCAATGAAACTTCTGAGTATACCTAGTCAACAAAAGATTAGACTTTTGACTATTGCCTGTACCAACAGTGTTTTGAACCCGGCAAAGAGCAGAGAGCTGGAGTCATTCTTTTTCATCTCTAATTTTAGTTTGTTGTTCCTTCCTGCTCTTCTTCGTTAATATGTCTAAAAGTTTATTTTGCTCATCTTAAAAAAATAAATGGCTCTTTTGAGGGGTAAAAAAGAAGGGGGGTTGCTCTTTCTTGTTTCAATTTGTACTTTTTGGGTTTCAAATCCATTTATTTTTGCTGTGAATTTTAGTTTTTTTTTTTATTTCCTGTTCATTTGTTTAAAATAAGTCCTTGAATTTTCATGAGACATTTTGTATTTTTGTACGTACCTGATGTTATTAATGCCCCTTTCAAAACTGTTTTTGCTACATCTCATGGGCATTGATGTTTTTCATTTATTTTCATTTCTCCAAAAAAAGGTTTTTTTCCTATTTCCTTATTGATTTCTTCAATGATACATAAGTCATACAGTTGCACAGGTTGCTTCAAGAAGGTTTTTTTTTGTTATTTTTATAAATTTTTGATCTTCCATCCTGTAGTAGACTTTAAGACATTGCATTAAAAGGAATGTATGGTGACTGTGCAATGGAGACAGTCATATCCAGATGTGAGGATGCAGTGCAGTATCTATTTTTCAATCAAAGATGGGCTCCCAGCGAAAGTGTTACAGATCTCTATAATGAGATGGACTCTCTGCCGTTGTCCATACCTACAATGTCAAGATACACTTAAATGGCAAAACGACGGGCTTATTAATCTTCACGCAGGACTAAACATTGTGATATTAGTGGGAATGTCGGGGGTAGGGTGAGGATTTGGGGCAGGGAGAGAAAATCTCAGGGCCTATAGAATTGTATTATTTAAAAAAATGAATTAGATAGAGGTACTGCAAGTAAATCACACTAGTACAAAGAATAAATTAATAGTTCAGGTTTAACTATAATTTGGTGCAAATTGTGCCTGGAGAGTTCTATAATTTTTTTGGAGGTAGAGTTAATAAGAATTACATCAAGATTACCAAACATTAAGAAGTTAAGGAATCTGAAATTACTGCCATGACTCTGCTGCTTAGCAATGATCAGATATTCCACTACACACCTCATCAAGTAAGAACTAAGAATGGTAGTTACTAGAAATTAATGTGAATCAACTGTATGAGCAGTCCTGTTAAAATACTAACGCTACTTTGGTTTTAAAAAGTAAAACAAATGGAATGAAGTAAGGTACAAGAATAGGTTTGTAACAAGAGGAAGAACTAATAATCTTGAACAGCTACCAACTTGAATTTCTATTGTAGATAGTGCTGATAGTTCAGAAAAGGACGACTTCGCTTGAGCAAATTCACTGGGAGAGCTCATCTGAAAGATGATTGCAGCTAGCCATACCAGAGGAAGGAGGAAACTCAGGGGACAGTAGGAATCCATCATGAAGCGGATGTGCGTGTGTGGCCTCTCTCTCTGCCTCGAAGACAGAGAGCCCTTGGAAGTCTGGCTCCTGGAAAGATTCTAGACACGCTGAATGAGTTCATTCCAGGCAAGTGCTATATCACATTCTGCACTAGGTAGGCGAATGAGTTGAATGACATAAGTCACAGGCAATCCAAAATTTCTAACATTATCTGTATGTATACATGTGCAAAAGAGGACTGTTAATTGATGAAAATCTTTTAAAAATAAAAAAGCCTTATGCCAAATTCATTTGTTTGTTGGTAGAGTGCATTTTTAGAATGAAAGAAAAATTTTCTCCCCAAGTTAATATATGTAAGCAAAATAAGCTAATACTTTCATTCACATTTCCACAATTGGCTATTATGTTTCTAATCTGAAGGAACGTTTAAAAGATATAAATCTCTTATCTATGACCCAATTAGCTACAGAAGCT